GAATATCTATTTTGATTTTTGGTTCCACCAAAATTATTTACTCTAACATTAATTAGTGGATATTTTCTTCCATGATTGTTTTTCATATTTCCCTTGTACTATTTTAAGTACTCACATATATTGGAGTCTATTTCTGGGTTAGCTATTTGGTACTGGGGGTCTATTTGTCTGTTTTTTTTTGCCCCAGAGTTACACTCTTTTACACCTGAAGCTGCTCTGTTGTATATTTTAAATATCTGGTAATGCTACTTTACATTATATTTTTCCATTAAATGTCCCTCTGAGTATATGTAGTCTTTTATATACACTTTGGAATTATTTTGTCAAATTTTAAAAACCATTCTGGGATTTTTCTTAAGACTGAATTAAGTATGTAAATTAACTTGGGGATGACAAATAGATATTTTATGTAATATTTGTTTTCCTATCCAGGAGCATAATATAATTTTTCCATAAGGTTTTTATAGTTTTATTTACAAAGATCTTGTTATGAGTTTCTCTCAAGTACTTTGTGTGTGTGTGTGTTGCTATTGGAAATTGGCTCTTTTTTGTAAGTTTTTTTTCCTAGTTACAGATAAATGTTATTGATACCACATGCATATATGAGCATGTGTGTGTCTGTGTTCATATACTTACACTTGCCTAGTTTCCTATATTCCATACTACCTATATACAGCTGTTTTAGGAACTGACTGAATCCTTACCTTTTCTAGGTATATAATCATGTCAAGAGGAAATAATGATATTTTTGTCTTTTTCTTTATAATATGAGGGTACTTCAGAAAGTTTGTGGGAAAAACAGAATTGAAAAAGCTGTGAATCTAGGGGCCGGCCCGGTGGAGCACTGCTACAGTGCGCCGCTTGGGAAGTGTGGCGGCGCTCCCGCCGAGGGTTCGGATCCCACATACAGACCGGCTGCTCACTGGCTGAGCGAGGTGCGGGAGCAACACCGAGGGTTGCGATCCTGTGGCCAGTCACGAAAAAAGACAAAAAGGAAAAAAAAAAGAAAAAAGAAAAAGCTGTGAATCTTTCCATGTACTTCTTGAAGCACTCTCATATTTAAATAACCCACATAAAACTAGACTGGCTTACTAGCTCTTGAAACCAGCCAGAGCATGGAGTTACACTATAAAAAAAAATTAGTTTGATTCCCCAATAGACCTGAAAATAAATTGAAATCTTAACAGAAATCTTTAGAAATACCTAGGGGAGAACCCTAACATAACACAAAGCAAAAGTTCTTACTTTTTCTATCTACTTCCTATCAATCTAATATCTAATATTATCTCACACAGGCAGCTGGATTTCTCTCCACCTTCTCCCCAAAACCCTTCTTTCTACCCCAAATCTTCCTTCAAACCCACCTCACATAGAGCCAAGTCCTTCCTCTCTTCCCCTCTCTGTTAGTCCATTTCTGTTGCTTATAACAAAATATACTAAACTGGATGATTTATAAGAAAATGAAATTTATTGCTTACATTTTCAGAAGCTAGGAAGTCCAAAGTCCAGGGAACACAGCTGGTGAAGGCTTTCTTTGGTGGTGACTTCAGTGATGGCAGGATATCACATTGCAAAAGTTGTGTTGCAGAGGGAGAGAGCAAGCCAAAGTCCCTCATGCACTCTCTTTTCAAAGCCCTCAGAAATACACCCACGACTGCCATTACTAATCCATGCACTACGGCACAGTCCTACAATCCAATCACCTCTTCAAGGCCCCACCTTCCAATGACCATAATAGGATTTCCCACCCTCAACAATTACAGTGGGGATTAAGCCTCAGTGAGGTTGGAGGAGGCATCCAGTCTACAGCATCGTCCTCCCCACCACCCAAACTTTTCTGGATAATTCTTCACCGTTATATTTATATGAATATCACCTTGCTTGATTTGCCAGTTCTCCACTTCACCATTACCATAAGCAATAAACAATGTCCCCAGTGGCAAATATTCAATAGCAACTTAGAATGAGATGGAGACAGGAGAAAGAAGGCATTCTGGATCCCCACACCTACAGTTTAATGTATTCCTTAAACAGATAAATGCATTTGATGGCGACTTTGAATGATTCTCATTAGCCAAGAACATCTAAACATTTTTAAGTCCTGTAGTTCTCCAAATAACATGCGAAAGCATTATTTTTATTGCATTTTACAATGTGCGGAAGGTTTAATGAACCAATTTTTAGATAATTATATATAATTTCCAAACATAAAAAGTTTGAAAACTGCTGCTGCCCATAAGGCACCTGGGGAAATCGCGGAATGCCCTCTGGGGTCTGGAAAACGCTTTGGTGCCACCTGCTGTTTTCTAAAGATATACCAGGCACTACGCCTGTTGGTTTCCAAATCATTTTTTTTTTTTTTAACTCCCTGCTCCTCACCAGCACATTCCAAAATAACCAGAAAAATAATTGTAAATTTTTGTGACAAGACCACCGTGCTCAAATTCATAATAATTCAAGTAACTTTGTTTGGGACACAATATGAAGAAACAAATATTTAACTGCTTAGTCATTTTAATTATGTATTTGTTAGCATCTGGCCAAAATGTAGATTTCACATGTTGAGTTTACATTGCTCATTACATACATCTTATTTCTTTTCTCATCAATAGATACATTTTCAAGTCGATGGTGTCCCATCGGTTGTGATATATGACGAAAATAATCTAATAATAAAATTCTGAAGTTTCTGAAAAATTTACTTTTATTGTAGTTAGAATAATTCTTTTTTTTCCCGTCCTTTTTGAGACCGGCCGCACCGCACTCAGCCAGTGAGTGCACCAGTCATCCCTATATAGGATCCGAACCCGCGGCGGGAGCGTCCCTGCGCTCCCAGCGCCGCACTCTCTCGAGTGCGCCACGGGCTCAGCCCTGTAGTTAGAATAATTCTGAGTTATTTCTATAATAATGCTACTTCCTCACTTGCATGCTGATACATATTGTTTGAAAAGGAAGGAGATACTGGTACGGCCTATGCACATTTTCTTCACCCATTCATTCAGTAAGACAGTAAAAATATATTGTTAACCAAGTCCCAGGTACTTTATTTGGTAGTGAGGGTTCAACAGTAAACATGAGAAAGCCTTTGTCTTCAATATCATCCTTGCACCAGGATAAGACCCTACTTTTTGCATATCACAATCCATAAAAAATAGATTTGCTTAAAAATGTAGGAGGCTGTCCCTCAAAATCTGTCATTTAAGCACTGCTGTAGCAAAATCAATAGGCCCAAACATCCAGTGTCATCATTTATGTGTTTAAGCTTCAGGGAAACAGGTCTCTTGCCTGTATCCTCAAAATAAAAGACAAACTATCTGAATACTCTGAAGATGTGTAGATTGTACTCTTTCTGGACACTCCTTTCAGAATTCCAGGGAGGACTTGAATACAGAAGTGCTTAGTTAAGAGAAAAGACAAATTAATAACTTGTCACATTCTTCTTTTCAAACCACGTGAACGTAACAGATTTTTGCATAATAATGTATTATTCCTAAGTAGTTCCAAACATGTAATGTCTTATTTCCTTTTGTTTTTCAATTTATGCTTCTGGATATCCTCAGGAATTTTTGCAGTATTCTCAGCAATCAAATGTGGCAGCCGAGGAGTATTTAACAATGTTAAACAATTCATGAGTTATTTAACAATTCATGACTCTCAAATTTGAAAATAGGTAGATATAGATATAAAATGAATAAGGGTGATACCCATTCTTTACATTAGCAAGATGGACACTGAATGCTAAACTTGTGAATAATCTATTTTTATGAAAATATTTCATAAGGAAATAATAGTTACCAAAAATAAATAAAACTTTAGATTTATTTAAATGACTTTACTTAAAATTTTATCGCTATAACTATATTTGGCTTCTTAGAAAAATAACTCTTGAAACCAAGTGAAAAATAATGTATTAATTTTTAATTTATTTTTATGAAAACATTAAATTTTATATACTTTGAATATAATTAAATTTTATTTTTAAAAAACTTGATCATGATTGTTAATAGAACACAATGTACATGAAAATCTTGATTAAACAGCATAACTGCTGATTTTGCTCAAATAAAGACCAAATTTTATGGGCTAAATACATGGGAAATGTATTAACTATATATATGTTTTTATTACCCATCCCAAATCATCAGCTGATTACCAAGACACCCAGCCAGGTACAATAATTATTAGATGCAGTAATCTTTTAGATTTTGCTAATTTTCACTCATATAAAAATAATTTTTATTTTGTCATTATAAATGTTTACTTAAAGTTGGAGGGTATATTGTATCCAAGTTAACAGTGTGTTAGGTTGATTTATAACTTTTATATATTTCAACCTATGGTAAGTGCGTGTCCATTTCTGCTCTTGGTGAGGCTCGGCAGATCTTAGGGGCAGGCTTCCTGCCGGCCTGCTAAAGCCAGAAATTAACAGGAAAACAAGTCAGATCATAACCAGTCGTGATAAGCCCTATAAAGCAAAGGCCAGCTTGGTATATTTGATGGGTGAAAAGGAGCCCTGTTGTGATTTGGGAAGAGAAAAAGCCAAAATCAAGCCTATCTGGGATGATCTTGATTTTTTTCAAGACTTCTTATTCAGGTCTCAGCTTAATGTCCCTTCCTCAGAGAGTCCTTCTCCAGCAACTCAAATTAATGACACCCTCTCGTATGGCTTTGCATTATTGTCATCAGAGCACTTATCACATTATCTGATTGTTGTCTGGCTTTTCTGTGTATTGCCTGTCTCTTTCCAGTGGGATGCAAGTTCCAGAAAAGCAAAGACCTCAGTCTCCTGTTCACCACCATATCCCCAGCCTGGCGTAAAGGAATGGTCAATGATCTGTATTCATTTCCGGGGAGGGGGCGAGGCTTCGTCTCGAGAGGAGGGTGGGAGGCGGAACTTCGTCTCTGGAGGCGGGACTACTGTCGCATTTCCGGCGAGCTTGTACCTCTTCTCTTGCCGTAGGGCCTGGAACCGGAAGCTGTTGGGAGGCATGCTTTTGGTTTCCGGGACAGGGCTGGACGGCTTGGTACCATGTGGGAGCTGCCGTGAAGAGTTGTCGGCTCGTAAGTCCTCCCTTAATTCCGAGCTCCGGGTGACGAGGAGCACCGAGCCGCTCGGTGTGGCCGCGGACTGGGGCGCTCTACCGAGGGAGGGTGAGGCGTCCGCGGGTTGTCCGGGTGTCTGCTGAGTGGGAGAACCCGTGGGGCGGCCACGCTCTTGGAGCTTCGTCGAGACCCTCTCACGGTGGGTATGTTTCTCAGCCTGTGTCTTTAGAAATCCGCTGGCGTGAAAGATGACGTCCTTAGCCCAGCAGCTGCAGCGACTCGCCCTCCCCCAGAGTGATCCCAGCCTCTTATCCAGACATGAAGTTGCTTCTCTGCTGTTTGACCCCAAGGAAGCGGCCACCATCGACAGGGACACCGCCTTTGCCATCGGTGAGCTGCCCATTAACTTGGAAAAGCTTTGAAACATTTGTTTACTGAATGTGGTTTCATTTTCTTTCCTCTTCTGCTCCCCACCCCCTTTCCTTAGCATTTTTTTTTAACTTGTCGACTTGCGTTAGTAAGAGAAAGAGAATAACATAGCCACGTGCTACATGCTTGAAATGCATATAGGTAGTGGCATCTAAGTTACCCAGACGAAGGGACTTCGTCAGGGAGGGCAACTAATACTCGTATGGAGAAAGGAAGGACAGCTGAAAGAGGACGGAGGCAGTGGTTGCGGTGGAGGAGGGATCTTCCCAGAGGGCTGCCTAGTTATTGTAGGGATATCAAAAATATGGAGATAAAACAAGAAGAAATGGCTTCTTCCACGAAGTGCGTTCTGTTCTCCTAGCTGATGAGATAACATTGATTCTATACGGTGAAAACTAGAATTCTGTGTTTGGAGCTGTATATTACATGCTAAAAGAATTCAGAAACTTTTAGGGGTAAGTAAAACTGTAAAAGAGGAGTGGTATGAATTTGCTTGCAAGGAATTGTTAAATAAACTGTCTTTTTTTCTAGGATGCACAGGACTTGAAGAGTTGCTTGCAATTGATCCTTCCTTTGAGCAGTTTGAAGCACCGTTGTTCAGCCAGCTAGCAAAAACCTTGGAGCGCAGCGTTCAGACCAAAGCAGTGAACAAACAGCTGGATGAAAACCTTTCATTATTCCTTATTCACTTATCACCTTACTTCCTGCTTAAGCCAGCACAGAAATGTCTGGAGTGGTTGATTCACAGGTAGCTAATGGAATCACAAAAATAACTATGGGCTATCCACTTTGCTCTTTTGTAAAATTAAGTAGTTGAAAACACTTATCCAGTTAAAGCTGAAAAATTATGTATATTAAGAAATTAATAAGATGTCTTACATGAGATAAGCATGCTCTTCTGCTTTTAAATTCGTGTTCGTTGATGGTGAATAGTACCACTGAAGATATTGAGTAGATGTTCTTACCTCATTAGTTCTAAGGAGCTCTTATTAGTTTGCCATTAGATTGTTCCTGCACACTTGGGACAGTGGGTATTCAACTTCTTTCTTGCCAAAATAACAGCAGTGGTTTTGGGAAAAGGTAGCAGTATCCTCTAAAATACCATAGCCTAAGAAAAATGGTAATAACTAATGTATGTTGAGCATTTACTCACCAGGCCCTGTGGTAAGCATTTTACGTGTGTTATCTCACTTAATTCTCACAACATTCCTATGGGGAGATACTTGTATTATACCCATTTGACAGTTGCAAAAAACTGAGGCTTAAAAGGGTTAAGTTGCCTGAGTCACACAAGTAATTGGCTGAGCTGGGACACAACTGAAGTTTGTTTCCAAGGTTAGCTCTTTCAGCCACTTTGGAAATTATCTGAGTAAGTTTACTTAGTTTATTTTCTCACTTATTGGCATCACATCACAGCTTACACATTTTTGTTTATTCTTTCAATATACATGTTTTAAAAGTAGAAAGATTTCCATTTCATTAATTGGAGACATGGGGGTGTGGTGATTTCCTTTCAGGAAGCAAGTGAGTCACTGAGAAAACAATCTTTAACTTGGGTCTTCTGACTATCAGAACATTAGACTCATCAGACAAAAAAGATCGTTCAAAAGTTTGTGATATTTCCCTCTGTTGTCTAGCTGGTAATTTTCCCCAAATAGATCATTAATGTAAGGGGTACTTTTTGCATTTGATTGTATTTATTCAGCAAAGACTGGGTTTGATATATGGATGAGTAGGTTTGCCCTTGGTTACTGTTTTGAAATAAATGCCATAATAGAAGTTTACGCAAAGTTTTGGGGATGTAGTGTGGCCTGGAGTAGTTGAGGAAAGCTTCACAGAGAAGTAACGTCTTGGCTAGCAGTAAAGCCTTGTATAAAACTAACAAAAGGCAGAGTGGTATGGTACTATAAGGTAAGTACATGTAAAAGGATAGAAGAGTTTAGATAAACCTAAGAGGGCTCAACTGGCTGAATGAAAATTAGGAAAAGCATCTTGAAAGAGGAGGCATCTGAGCAAGGCCTTGAAAACTGGGAAGGATTTAATGTATCTGACAATGAATCTATCTTATGTTAGGGTACAGGGACTGATACAAATTACATATTGTTGTGATTGTTAATTTTTTTTATCCAAGGGATGTAATATGACTTTCTTTTTAACTAGTCTTTTGGTTTTAGAAGTAACGTAGTTAAGAAAACTGTGGAAGGTGACTTTGAGTATGGAGAGAACCTGAGCTTTGCCACCTGCTTGGCCAGTTGCTTTTATGTAGATATGACTCAGTGATCCCCCTTATGTTAATATAAGAATAGGTTTTTTAAAAAGTTGACAGAAAGTGAATGGGACATAAAGTTTGATATTGAATATTCAAAACTATTGCTGCATGAGAATTGGCAGTTTGGAGCAACACAGATGGAACTAGAGACCATCATGTTAAGTGAAATAAGCCAGGCACAGAAAGACAGATACCACGTGATCTCGTATATGAATCTAATTTTTTTTTAAAAAGTGGTTCTCATAGAAGTAGAGAGTAGAATAATGGTTACCAGAGGCCAGAAGGGGAGGGGTCTGGAGGGGAAGTGATGGATTAACAGGTACAGAGCTGTGCTATCTACTCTAAGATAATCAATGTACAGTATATGCACGTATAGAAAAATCACACTGTACCCCACCAGTATGTTCAAATAAATATTTTAAAAATGGAAAAAAAAAGAAAAGAATTGGCAGAACCATGTTCAGGTGAACTAGAATGCAAAATAGAGGGCTTATCATTTAAGTGCCCTGTATGATGATTGTGGTGACATGGTGGTTTTACTGATATTCATTCTAGGTACTTTTAGCTCATTGATATGTAATTTGTGCATGTAAGGAGATAGGTGCTATAAGTTTTGTGTCAATTTGAATTGTTTGCTTTTTTTCCCAGGTTTCATATCCATCTTTATAATGAAGATAGTCTCATTGCTTGTGTTCTGCCATACCACGAGACAAGAATATTTGTGCGGGTTATACAGCTTCTAAAAATTAATAGTTCAAAGCACAAATGGTTCTGGTTGTTACCAGTTAAGGTATGGTTGTTGAGTGACATGTTTTTAATTATTACAAGTCTTGATTAAGGGATGTAATTTTGAAAAAATAAAGTCATTAGTGCTCCTAGGGATAGTCCAAATATTAACTCCATCACTTTTATTCCTAACTTCCAGTTGAAACAGTTATTAATATTATCTAATATTATCTAGCTTTTATTTAGTACCTGACATGAGGCCAGGCAATTTATATTATATTGGATTCTCACAAAACTCCATTTTTATGGATGAGGATAGGCTCCAAAAATTAAATTACATGCCAAAGTTCACATAACTATAAAGGGGCATATTTGGAATTTGAATCCCATTCTGATTCTAAAGTCTGTGTCTTCACTATACCATGGTATTTGACATTTTAAATTTTGGAACTGAAGAGCTTTAAAAAAGTTGGAGGTGAAGAAAGGCAGAAAATACTTACAAAAATTAAAGGGATGAGAATAACCTGAAGAGCTTCAGGAAATTATTAAAGTTGTGGAGAAGATGCTAAGAATTAATTTACAGGTGAATAGAAGGATGGGTGCCTAACTGGAAGGGTCTCGGTAAATCAGATGGTGCACTATTGTGGTGAAACCCCTGACTTGCCACTAGTGCTTTGTTGCAGCATGTACTAAAGGAAAGTAGATGTGTGTTGTTAGCAGGAACTGCATGCTCTGCATGGCGACCCCTTCTGGGAGGAGGACAAATGGGGATGGAAGGAGGCTCACAGGGGGTGGGGCTGTGCAGAGCGTTAACGGATGGTGATAGCAAGGTCAGCGATTGGGATGAGTAAGAAGGAAGGAGTGGGGAACTTTAAATGAGGAGGAGAGTTTACGAATCTGGGATGTAAGGCACTTGAACTAAAAAATGTTCAAGGCCAACCTGTGGAAAGGCTTCTTATCAAACTGCTGTTCCCAACATTCACTCTGCTTGTAGCATCAAGGTCATTTTCCCCTGGTCTGCACATAGACACTGCTGCTCCCTGGACACTCTTATTCCAAGTGTCCAAACCTCACCTGCCTATTAAAGTTCACCTCTAATTCTCATTTTGTTGATGTATTCAATATTTATTGAGCACCTAAGACATAACCATGTGCAATACTATGTGGTGGGGACAGTGGTATCCGTTGGCCGAGTTCCTGGTCTAATTCTGTTATTAGTGTTATTGTAAAGCAGTTTTAAAAAAGTATCACATTGGCTGAAAACCCAAATCTAACCAGTAGAACTACTCAGAATCTAGAGAATCCAGGTTTAGATAAACACATATCAAAACACGACGCATGATAAGCGTTTTTCACTGAGTACCTCCCCCCGCATTGCTGATCTCTTGAGTTTGTAAAGATTCCAAGACTTTATGTGTTAATTTCATCACCACAGCCAATTATAAGGAAGGATTATATCTTGTATTTATGAACTGCAGCAGTGTGAAAATGTTACTAGGGTGGGTACTTTAAAATAACGATCAATTGATAGTTTGTTCTTTCTGTTAATAACAGCAATCTGGAGTGCCCTTAGCTAAAGGAACTTTGATTACCCACTGCTACAAAGATCTTGGATTCATGGATTTCATTTGTAGTCTGGTGATGAAATCTGTGAAGGTGAGTAGTATGTTGTTTTGTGAATGTACATGTATAATTTCATTGAAAAGATTGTTTGCTCTGAATGAAGAAAACATACTAAAGCCTTTCCTAATAGCAATGATACTTTGAAGAAATTTCTTTTGTTAAATTATTTGTGGTTTTCGAGTAAGAGCAGCTGGAGGATCAGTCTTTTCTCATGAAAGGTGTTTTTGTACAAAAATATATTAGTCAATTCCTTGCCAAATTCTAGTTACAGTGACTATTTAAACAAAGATACAATCTAAAAACGTCAAGTAGATTGTTAGGCAAGCAGCTGGAGGATCAGTCTTTTCTCATGAAAGGTGTTTTTGTACAAAAATATATTAGTCAATCCCTTGCCAAATTCTAGTTACAGTGACTATTTAAACAAAGATACAATCTAAAAACGTCAAGTAGATTGTTAGGCAATTCGTTCTTGTTATATTGTGTATTTAATTCTATATTCCTTATGGTAAAAATTAAAATGTCAAAGCCTGAAGTAGCTCAGGAGAGCTGTATATAAATATTTTTATCTAATTGGTCTTTCACTGTTAAATGTGTTTGGTTTGTGTTCCCTGTTCCAGGTTTTTGCTGAGTATCCAGGAAGCTCGGCTCAGTTGCGGGTGCTCTTGGCTTTCTATGCTACTACCATCGTGTCTGCTCTAGTGGCTGCGGAGCACATATCGGACAACATAGTCGCCAAACTATTTCCATATATCCAGAAGGTTGGCTCTGCTGATGTATAAAGTGGATTATTTTGTACTATAAGGGCTTTTCTTACTTTGAAAATTTCATTTAGATGTAAATGTCTTTAAATTGATAGTGTATTTCAGATGGTTGATGAGATTTAATCTTTAGGTAAAAAAAATTATGACTTTTTTAGTCTTAAAAATACATCAGAGAGGGACCTTTAACCAGGACTCTGAGAATAAATGTTGGCTATCTGACCCCGCCACTCTTTCCCAGATCTGTTTTCTTCGCTGTCATTTTACCTCGCTGGAAAGAGAATGGAGTAGGCAGTTTCCTCAAGGCTCGGCAGCCTCTTAGCATTCTTTTTGCATTGGCCTCTGCTTCTCGGTGTTTCTTCTTCCCACGTGCCTTGTTGCCTGCCGCCTTCCCAGATGCCCCATGGAGGTACTGCCTTTCGCTTCCTATCAGTGTCCCAAACTATTGTCTTCAATCAGATACGGTTTTATGTCTGGCGGTGATCTGATTGAAAGGTTTCCCATCCACTGATAGGTGTTTGCATACGAAAGAAGAGCTTGTTGGCTCCTGTTAGGACGGGCGGTGGATATTTGAGACTTTCTTAGATCCCTCCTCTCATCCAAGAGACTTGTCTCATCTCCGTGTCCACTCAGGAAAAGGGGTCAACACCTTCATTTTCTACTTCTGAAGACTGGCTGCTTCTCAGTGTGCGTTAGGTTGCGTTAATCTCTAACTTAGGACATTTCTAGTTCCTCGGGGTAAAGTAACATTTTAAGTAGAAGAAATTAATACAATTTATCATTTTTACTTGTATTTTAAAAAATATTTAGGGATTGAAATCATCTTTGCCAGATTACAGAGCTGCAACGTACATGATAATATGTCAGATTTCTGTGAAAGTGACAATGGAAGATACCGTTGTTAATTCATTGGCATCACAGATCATCAAAACATTGACCAAGATTCCCTCTTTGATCAAGGAAGGATTAGGTTCCTTGATAGTGCTCCTGCAGAGACAGAAGCCTGAGAGCCTTGGGAAAAAGTATGTACGATTGAATTGGGAAATGATGCTAGTTAGAGGCGAATGAGATTATTTTGAATAATTTTTTTGTAAGATAGGTGACATACTATTTTTTTTTATATTGCTGTTTGTTGTCTGACTTGTAAAGTCAACATCATATGTGCTTGCTTCTTCGAAGGCCGTTTACTCACCTGTGTGATGTTCCCGATCTTATTACAATACTTCACGGCATTTCTGAGACATATGACGTCAGTCCTCTTCTGCGTTACATGCTTCCCCGTCTGGTTGCTGCCGTCATTCATCACGTGTCAGGTGTGTGGTTTTGCATTTTTGTACAGAAACTTGCATTCTAAGATCTGATCCTCTTAAAATAGGAACCATACCCTGGTTAACAGCTTTAAAATATTTGAAATCTCTGCTGTTCAAATGTTTTTGTGTAGCCAGTCTATTTTTCTTAAGTGAGATACATTTGGGGCAGGGAGCAGGTTGGTTCAAGAGAGATCCTTCTTCCTTGAGTGATTTCTCAGAATTCTGTTCTTTTTAAAATCTGTTTTCTTAAACAGTCTGTACATGAATAACACTGGGTTTGTTGTAAAATATACTACTGAGTAAACCTTTTCCTTCACATTTAGGAATTTAATGAACTTGAGTGAAGTTTACAGTAAATACCCAGTTGCCAAAAAAAGTTATAAAACAAAGCCAAAAAATTAATTAGAAAATGATTATTTGCATTGTTTGTTTTTATCCTTCAATTAATACAGAAAGACAAGGAAGAAATACTTGGTCCTATTGCTACTTGCAGAACGCTAAGAAAGACATCTCTAAAACTGTGTCAGTCTATTAGAAGATAAGGTTTACATATGACCAAACCTTGGTTCCAACATGCGGTTCAGAAAAATGCCTGCCATGAGTGCAAGTGCGTTCTGTCTGTTCTCATAGTGATGAGTGATGTGGTCCCAGGCTTCTGTCTGTTCTCATAGTGATGAGTGATGTGGTCCCAGGCTTTGAAGGCAGGGACTAACAGCAGACTCATACGTTTACGGTAAATCAGGACAAGAAGATGACAACTCTTAGTTCAGCAAAGAGGTCTTGACATGAAAGTGTAGCCTGTTTTCAGAAATAGTTTATTAAGATCTAGGTTTGTGGCTCAACTTCAGTAATAACTTATAATGTGACTTGGGGAAAGTCTACTTAACTTTTATACTTTTCCATTATTGATATAAATATGATAGTATTTGTTAAAAATATAGAGAATTTCAGGTAAAGGATAAAAGAGGGCAAGGTATATAAAAATGTTTGAAGGCAGGGACTAACAGCAGACTCATACGTTTACGGTAAATCAGGACAAGAAGATGACAGCTCTTAGTTCAGTAAAGAGGTCTTGACATGAAAGTGTAGCCTGTTTTCAGAAATAGTTTATTAAGGTCTAGGTTTGTGGCTCAACTTCAGTAATAACTTATAATGTGACTTGGGCAAAGTCTACTTAAGTTTTATACTTTTTCATTATTGATATAAATATGATAGTATTTGTTAAAAATATAGAGAATTTCAGGTAAAGGATAAAAGAGGGCAAGGTATATAAAAATGTTGTGAAAAATATAAATGATTAAAGAGGTAAAATACACTTTTGAAAACAGATAAAAAGGTGGAAATGGACATATGCATTTTAAAATTATTCCTAGAAAGATTTTCTGCTCTAAGTAAATTTAATAATGTGAGTGTGCAGAAAAATTTTCCTCAATTCAATTTTAATTTGTTGCGTATGAAGGAGAAGAAACCGAAGGGATGGATGGTCAAATGTACAAGAAACACTTGGAAGCTGTACTCACAAGAATATCGCTGAAGAGCGGCTTGGACCGCTTGCTGGCAAGGTAAGCTGTGGTCGTGCACGTGCTTTTGATTTACACTTTCGTGGCTCTGTGTACTTTTCAGGGTTGGTTAGCAGTTGTCTGGTATTCCTTTTTAATGTGTGTCATGCTTTGTCAAGATCCTTTTATTAATTATAAGCGCTGAATCCAATCATTGTGACAGCCTAAAAAGCCAAAGTAGTTTTTCTTGCTTGTCTTTAGTGTTTATAGAAGAAAGTGGAAAGTTAATGGTTACGCTAAATTTGGGTTATAACTCAATGTAATTGTGGCTGTTTAAAGCTTTCTGTTAATAAAAGGACCATAATGCCTGAACCAATACATCATAGTTGATATTAAGTACTTATCAGTTAGAAACTTAACATTGAGGGTAGGCGTGGAGTAAAGACTATTTCTTCCTTTTCTGTAAAGATAGTTCAATCTGGCTTTTTTCTTAAAGGGCAGCTTGATGCTTGATACACTGAAAAGGATATAGGTATTGCAGTCACACATAGGTCTGAATTCTGCTTCCACCACTTCCATTAGAGTAGTAAGTTGTGCAGGTCAGACTTCCTGGGTCTGCTTTTGACACTGTAACACTGAGCGGGTGCCTGCCTGCTGGTGTGCAGCCTTCGTGCCCCTTGCTCGGAGGGTTGGTTTGTGAATTAAATGAGCACATACACTTGAAATGCCATTGAGAGCTAGGGCTCTGGAATCAGACTGAGACTTAAAATTTAGAATCCCACTCTGCTCTTTGTGGCACACAAGGGCTTGCTAAGGGTTGGCTTTTGTTGCTGTTCTCATTTGACCTCAGGCAAATGGGAAGACTTCTTACGTCCTGGTTTCTTTATCTGTAAAATAAATAAGTATTATAGTTTCTATTTTGTAGAGGTTTGACGTCAAGAGATAGTATTTTTAAAGCATCTAGAACATAGTAGTTACTCAGTACATATTAATTAACTCTCGTGTCTGCTGTTTGTTTTCTTTTGCAGCCTTCTTTTTGAAAAGTATATTTCATATACTTCACAGGAAGAAATTGATTCTGATAAAGTATCTTTACTTAATGAACAGTTTCTTCCACTCATCAGACTTTTAGAAAGCAAGTAAGCTGTGTGTGCACCTGTGTTCTTCTCTTAACGTGTACCTCCTGTTCTTTAAAGATGCAATTCACAAGTCACATCTTAATATAGTGAATTGTAAAGAAACTGTCCTTTTCTTTTTTTTTTTCGTCTTCAAAAAGGGATGAGTATAGGATTTAAATATATTTGAAATATAAGAGGAAATAGGGGTTGTGTGGGGACTGGAGAGAGTAAAACTTTTTTAATATGGAGACTTTTTGTTGTTGTAGTAGTCATAGTAACAAGATTGATCAATATAATTTAGTTTTGTGTGTACTATTTGTTAAAATTTAAATCTCAATCTCAGTGATTTTTTAAAACATATTTCATGTCTTTCCATTATGCATGTATGGCCTGTGTGGTTAATAGCTTTATTTAGAATAATAGATTAACACCTTCATTTCTTCCCAGATACCCCAGAACATTAGATCTTGTATTAGAGGAACACCTAAAAGAAATTACAGATCTAAAACAGCAAGAACTTTTTCACCAGTTTATTTCTCTTTCTACAAGTGGTGGAAAGTATCAGGTACGTTATCCTTCTCTGGAGGAATCGTGATGATTAGGGGTACATCGTGTGGATATTTGAAGAGCTCCAGAAGGAAATTTGCTACTTTCCTCACCTCTTTGGAAAATTTCACAGAGAAATAAGACTTTATACAGTTTGCCTAGTTACCTGAAGTAAGGCTCTGAGGCAAGAATCAAAATCATTGAAGAAAAAGTACAGTAATTTTTAAATAACTGTGAATGTGATACTTATTTCAGGAAAAGTGTTGTTACAGAATTGTATGCACAGTGTTCATTAACAGTCACCAAAGGGTGGCCTCTCATAGATCTCAGCGTTCTTTCTTTCTCCCCACTGGCTCTTTAAATTATTGGCTAGAAAAAGGGAGGGGGAATCTATTTCATGATTGTGTTAAAACTTCAGAAAGTTCTCTAGTGATTCAACCCTAAATCTTTATACTAGAAGTTAGATATTTAAGCAGAAGTTTTTGTGATTAGTCTGGAAAACAGATGTTATGAAGGGAAATATGATTGTTTGAGTTTCTCTCTTCCATAATTAGACTTTCATTTTTAATTGTGTTATATTTCCAAATCTTAGGTTGATAGATAGACTTTTTTCTTAGTCTAATTATATGAGTGAACTGATTTGAGAGTCACTGTTCTATCATTTAGTTGAGTTGCATAGGTGCTTTTCACTTTGGAATCAAATATGCACAAGGAATACAGATTCATAGGATTACTTCACTAAATTAAACCTACACATAGACACGAACATACACAAAATCACACCAATAGCAATAGAAACTTTTTCATCTGTTGTAACTCATTTCATGTTCTGGAGACAAAGATTTTGCTTTACTTCTGAGTTTCTGTAGTTAGATGGTTGTTACTGAATATGGTGAGCAACTGGGGTAGTTTTATCTGACTTTTATTCTTAAGATAAGTGAAATCATTTGATAATTAGGTTGAACCTTCTAGTTTTTAGCAGATTCTGATACCTCTTTGATGCTCAGTCTGAATCATACACTTGCTCCCGTGAGACTTCTGGCCGTTAATCATCTGAAAAATATGAAAACATCAAAGGTTTGTGTCTCATTTCGTTTGTGATTTTTTTTCCCCTATGATGAACAGTGTAATTCTAGAATAAGAAATTGAAGTTGCTATTTAGAATCAATGTGTAATTATAGAGCTAAACTGAATAAAGCAGATGAAAGTTCTTTGGACCAAGATTTAGGACTGTATATGGCAGTAGGCACCATTTTAACAATAACCTAACAACTGTTTTCATATGTAATCGCATTGTAGATTCTGAGGTTAGCTTCATTGTTTTTTAAACTAGAATTTATAGACCAATTCACAGAGGCTTATAATTATCCGAGAATTTTTTAGTCTTGAAATTTAATTTTGATAGTCTTAATTTTATATATGTCTTAATTATATGTATGAAATTATATGTATAGTCTCAGTTATATATAATTATATATTAATTTTATATTAATTTTAATTTGGGACATCTGAATGATAACTTTTGAACACTGTTCCATAATTTCAGTGTCTGCAGTTGCATTTGTGTTTAAAATTTTTGTGGCTCCAGACAATAAGTACAGAGGCTGATTTAATTGATAAATAACACATATATACCAAAAGGCATCGGTATGAACACTTTGCAGTGATTCAAGTAGAACAGCATTTTCCAAATTTCGGTCATTCAGACAATAACTGCACAATTTTTGCTACATTAGCTTACCACTGATAATATTATTTTCTTAAAATTTTTCTTTAGCTTGTTTTAAATGGACTCATTATTTTTTTAGCCTTCAAATCATGGATGTGAAGTGCTAATTGAATATACATTTTAGTATAGTTACTGTAATTAAAATAGGAATGTTTCATCTGTGTAATATTTAAAATCAAATACCATGATTTGTATATTTGAAAATTTATGGAATAGAGAAGAGTGGTAGCAAAGTTTACTTTTCCTACAGAATATGGCAGTATAAACATGCTGAACTCTAGAATTTGTGTCATAGCAGTTAGAACCAGATTCATATTGTAAGTAGAATTTAATTTTAGCTAATCACAATTATCACATTCAATCTGTCTTAATATGTATTTTATTGGTTTTGTAGGGTTTTTCATTTGCCTTGCAGATTTTTAAAAATATTTTTTATATTTTATATCATCTATATTTTAAGGAGTTATACTTACATATCACTTTAAAAATAGATATATAAGTAACAAATAATTTAAAGCAACATTTGGATCTGTAAAAATGTTTCTTTAAATATGATTGATGTAATGCTGAAGTTTGGAAAATGTTGCTTTATTTGATTCATTTCTGATTTGTCATTAATTGTGGTTCTTTCACAAATGCTGATAGATTTTTCTTACTGATTCGGTAAGTAATTAAACTCAATGAATACTGGTCTTTGTTGTAATAGGAAGATTTCGGTGTCTAGAATAAAAGGGAAACAAAACAAGCTACTAGAGGTGGGAAAGGGAGAGGGGAGAAGAGGTTAGCGAGAAATGGGTAAAGGGCCACAAAAAATAATGACATTGTGTAATGTTGAATATGCTAATTATCCTGAAAAAATAAAGAATTCCTGGAATCCTCTAATATTCCTGAAGCTCTGCTCGTCCTTTCTTCTTTTACTCTTAATTGCTTCCTCCCCTTTTCTCTGGCTTTGGTTAGTTTTTCAGTGATGGGCACTGTGTACCTTCAGCTTACAGGCTTTGACTATTGCAATTGCAGTTAAGGTCCTTCTGTGTATGCCGCATTTCGCTTTCCCTTCTCCATCAATGACAGGACATAGCTTCTATACTAGAATTCTAGATTGAGATTAATATGGCTGCTAATAAGTAGCTCTTGAGGAAATTTTGGTGGTATTTGACACGTAAAACTTTGACTTAATTTTTGTGAATTCCAGGGATTTAGTTTTTCTCCCAACAGAATGACTCTTTTTGGCATCTGGTGGGTCCGAGCCCTTGACCTTGGTGTTATAACAGCACACTCTAACCAACTGAGCAACTGGCCAGCCTATTTTTTATAAAGTTTTTTAGTTGTTTCTTTCCCCACCAGGTACAGGTAGGTGTATATGAGGGTACTTCAAAAAGTTTTTGCAAAAATAGCACTAAATAATAATGTGAATCTTCCATAAACTTTTGTTCATGTTCAGGTTGATTAGCAGTCTTAGTTTTCTGTTACTGTGAGTGAGTGCAGTCCTCTCTCAGTATCCTCAGGGGATTGTTCCAGGACCCCTCACGGATACCAGAGTCTGTAGATGCTCAAGTCCCAGATATAAAATGGCGTAGTATTTGCATGTAACTTACACACATCCTCCCAGATACTTTAAAGTATCTCTAGATTACTTATAATACCTAATACAATGTAAATGCTATGTAAATAGTTGTACTGTATTTTTTTAAAATTTGCATTATTTTTTGCTGTTGTATTGTTATTTTTTATTGTTCTTTTCTTCCGAATATTTTTTTTTTAAAGGTGACCGGTAAGGGGATCTTAACCCTTGACTTGGTGTTGTCAGCACCACGCTCTCCCAAGTGAGCTAACTGGCCATCCCTATATAGGGATCGGAACCCTCTTCCGAATATTTTTGCTCTGCAGTTGATTGAATCTGCATATGTTGAACTCGAGGATATGGAGGGCTGACTGTTGATGCTTGTATTTCTTAGATCTCTGTTTTTGGCAGACTGGCTTTACAGTGCCTGTCCTTATCTTTGTAAAAATCTAAATAATAATAATAGCTAACTTTTAATAGTACTTATTATGTGTAAAGTGCTGTATTAAGCACTGACATTTTTTTTTTATTCTCTAACAACGCTTTGAGGTAGGTGTCATTATTAATAGCCCTGTTTTGTAGATGAAAATGATGAGGCCCAGAAAGGTTAAGTAACTTGCCAAAGGTCACACAGCTAGCAAGTAGTAGAACTAGGATTTTAACCAAGACATTTTTGTTCTTTAGTCTATGCTCTGTCAATGTCTGGGCTCTCATTTTAACAAGACGAGCACCTTAATATATATCACTGGAAACTAAAAAAGTTTGTAACAAACAATTATTAATCTCAAAAGGCCCTTTAGAGATTTTCTAGTTCTAGAGTGTTTGAATTCTAATCCAGAACAGAGCCTGTGTTCCTTGACTGGTATTCTGGAATGCTTTCGTAAAACTATGCTTCCTTTTTAGCACAAAGTCTTAAGAGATTTTTAGCAACAGTTAAATTAATTTTTTTTCCTATTGCCCAGGAGGGTATTGATGAGTCTTTCATAAAAGAAGCTATTTTGACCCGATTAGGTGATGATAATGTAGACGTCATTGTGTCAGCTCTAAGTGCTTTTCAGGTGAGTGAATTTGTTGTTCATTGAGATATACATTTTGGTCATAAGTATTTTCTTGCCCTTCTCACATAATTCTCTGCTCTAGTTAGAAATATATCTAGAAATTATTTTTCCATTATAAATTTGTCCTCTTGTGAGCACAGACTTAAGTCTGGTTAAGAGAAGCTCATAGGAGTAATTAGACTGTACAATTTGATATATATGGAAGTTCTTCAAAATGCAAAAATGCTTTGTGAATTTTTATATTGCTTTTAATATATTTTTATCAATAGCAAATAAGTTGGACCATAGAAATTGTCTCATGACTGCAACTTGTGAGAAATTGAGCATAAAACTTAAAAGTTATACTAAGATTCTTGGGAGAAATTCTTTATAATTCATTATTTTTTAAAGTTTATTTAAAAAGCAGCATGTATACTTTAAAGAAATAAAAATTAACTCTTTTTTCCCTTTAGATTTTTAAACAGCACTTTAGTTCAGAAGTGACTATTTCAAATCTTCTGAATCTCTTTCAAAGAGAAGACTTTTCAAAGAATAGAGAATGGTATGTATTTTTTCTCATGCGCTTTTGAACTGATAAAGTTCTCGTGTCAAGTTCACATTAATTTTTTTTTTTTAATGATTTTTGGAACTTATAATTTAGTTATGTGACCCTTTGGTCATGGTGTAGTAGAACAGATTTTTTAAAAAATTTAATTGTATGTATTTGTGGGGTACAGTGTATTGTTTCAATACATATATGCAGGCATTATGCAGTAACTCACTTAGGTTAGATAGCATATCCATCACCTAGTAGAACAGATCTTAATGAATTTTTTCTTGCCTTACAAAGCTAATTAATTTGGGTTTGTCTGTCTTCATTATATTATTTTATGTGTTTGAAATTTTTCTTAAAATGCGAAAAGAAGGGCCGGCCCGGTGGCGCACTGGATAGTGCGCCGCTTGGGAAGCGCGGCGGCGCTCCCGCCCGAGGGTTCGGATCCCACATACAGACCGGTTCCCGCTCACTGGCTGAGCGAGGCGCGGGAGCAACACCGAGGGTTGCAATCCCGTTGCCGGTCCCCGGTCCGGTACGGGGGCAACACTGAGGGTTGCGATCCGTTGCCGGACATGGAAAAAGACAAAAAAAAAAAAAAAAAAAAAAAAGGC